CAGGAGGGCTGACTGTGGAACATAGTACCGTATCTTTGATAGTATGCCTACAGTCTTGGAAATTTTCTTAGAAATTTGTTGTATATGTGTATGGAAATTTGAGTTATTATCAAGGTGGATTCCTAAGATTTTCCCCCTGTTAGCTTTGTGATAGGGGGATCCGTTTATCATTATGTTAAGAGGGGGCCCTCTGTAGCTCTGTTACCAAACTGAATGAAGTAGGTTTTGTCAATGTTTAGTGGGAAGTTTGTTAGTCCTCATCCAGGTAGATATTTTCTGTAATTCGGTATTTACGGGGATTGGCTAGCGTGACTGGGCTCGGGTGAGAAAAGACGTATGTAGTGTCATCTGCAAATAGTGTGGGTTTGAGTAATTGCGAAGCATTTGGAAGGTCATTTATGTATAGGAGAAAGAGAAGAGGGCCAAGGACACTTCCCTGTGGGACACCAACTGTAATTGGTTGCGCAGAAGAGTTTGCCCCATTTGCGTACACATATTGGCTTCTGTTGCTGAGGTATGACTTGAGGTAGTTGAGGGAGTGCCCTCTTATACCATAGTGTGACAATTTTACGTGGAGCAAGTCATGGTCAACTGTATCAAAAGCTTTACGAAAGTCAATGAAGATCCCCAGTGAGACTTCTTTTTTCTCTATTGCAGTGTATATATGTTCTAGCATGTGTATAATAGCAGTGTTGATAGCAGACGTGATCGTGCTCTGTTGATGTACTCCCAGAGTGACTCGCTCAACCATATTGTCTGAGTTCAGGCATGGGTCAGTATTCAGGGCATGAAGTATCTGGTAGGCCTATTGCCTCATCATGGGGGGTGATGGGTGAGGCGGGAGCCCTGCGGCTGGCGATGTGGGCAGCTTTCGCTCTGCAGTCAGCATGAGCAGCTGTGACTCCTGGAGTCTTACAATTGATACATTCTAAAAGCAACGGTTTTGGTGTTTCTTGATCATTCATAGCACGGTGAGAAAGGGTGGGCCTTGGCATACACTGCACACCAGTGTGACTTTCTAAAGCATTTAAAAGCAAAGTGACCCCAGCGCAGACACTTGTAGCATCTACGGTGATGTGATTTGTACAAAGCTATATTGTGAACTCCCTGATAAGCGCTGCACGAGAGTAGATATATGATGTGGAGTCCTTCCTTGACACAATCCACTCAGCCAATATCAGATCAATTTGGAATTCGACGAGGTTTGCAACTTGATCTGAAAAAAGATATTTAAGGATCCATGTACAAATTGACATTGTGGATAACAATAATACATATGTATCTTTGGTGGGGCAGCTTGGAGTTGGATGTTAGCATAATTTATGATTGAATATGTTTTTCTATGAATGTTGGGTCGTTAGTAAACAAAAACGTAATTATCCTCGTCATGAACGAAAGCGAATCCGAAGGTTTTTTTTACTGGGATGTCTAATGAAGCGTCGTAAAACTATCTAACACTTACCTCAAACTCAGTTGTTTAGCAAGGAAATCAAGCCTAAAACCTATCTGCAATGGTAGTTGTTGCTCTCGTTGTTTCTTGCAGCAAGCCACCTTTTGAAAATCCTCTTTCCTTTTTTTCAAACTCCCTTCTACTTCTACAACGTACGAATTCGCCTTCACCATCATTTACTCGAGTTCACATCTACCATAGGTCACTTTTAGTTCAGTCTGCTGAGATGGAAGAGTATAGTCTGTACTTTTGGGTCAGCAAACCTCCATTATTCCATAAGAGAGACGGGGACAAGGAAGGAATATCACCGTCTGCAAGACCACAGGCAATATGGTAGTATGACCTGACGGGTCGCAGTGCGATTTTCAAGGTCTATGTCACTGGGCCCACAGTCGTCCTCGAGAGTTACCAACACTGACTACGTGTTTAATTACTTCCAAACCCCGCAGCACTAACACATCTAGCACAGGACGTGTCTTGGAATGACATACAAATTTTCACATACATAAAACTAGTTCCTCACTAACACCTAAGGTACGCCGAAACACTGAAGGACGTTCACAAAGGCATTCCTGTACCTTGGCCTTCACTGGCTGGCTTGGAGTGCTCTTTATTAGCCTGGATCAGCTAAGAAATTCGCCCTTATCCACATAAAGTAGAAATGGCGACGAGTTAAGGGTATACCGGTGAATAGGAAAGTCGAGGAAGGGACATTCACCTCACTAGACCACACGCAGTATGGGTGTAAGTGGCATCGGTCTTTTATAGTGCCATTTTTCAAGGTCACCCAGCAAGGCCCAAACAGATTCCTCACTCATTTTAAGCCTACGTATGTACTGAAGGTAGCACAATTGCCTAAGTCAGAGAAATCCACTCGTGCAAATAGTTACAACCAAATTCTGCAGCGCTTAAACAACACTACTACACAAACTTCTATGTATCAAGTGAACCCATGCATGTCCCACTTAAAAAGTTAGTACTGAGCAATGCTCGTCAAATTGTTCTTAACTAAGCCAAAACAGGAAACACTGGTAAGATCCAGCAGCACTTAGAACGTAAATACTTAGACAAGCTGGGCCTTTTCCAATGCTGCTTACAGCTTGCTTGAATGTGCTTAGCAAAGCCCGTGTCAACTACACTTGATATTTGCTTGTAGCAGGCAGTAGCCACAGGAGACATATTCGTAAGATGAAGAGTGCGGCACGGAGGACTGACACGGTCACGTCAGCATTTATGTGGTCTGGCAAAAACCGCCTCTAGACCATAAGTAAATAGAGGCGAATGCTGAGTTCCAAATCGAGGAAGTAGGGGAGAGAGGCGAGGTGGAGTGAAGTGTAGCCTCCACAGCCACTTCACATTAACAAATTTTGGTTCACTAGGTATAAATCACTATCACAGCACACATAAGAGTTCCAGCAGCAATTCAGCTGCGCTCTCAACGATAATTTGTTTGTAGATGAATGGTGATCAGAGAACATCAACATGTTTGATAAATAAGACACATGTGGCAACTCTTGGGTTTCTTTATTGAGGAAACGTTTTCGCCACACAGTGGGCTTCAACAGTCCATACGTATGAGAAACTTGAAGAACAGGGAGGAGAATGAGGAAACAGTCCCTCAACCTTGAGTCGATGTGTTCAGTCCATCAATATTGAATAGAATAATTAGTTGCATGTGATGAGTTATCAGTCGGGTGAGATAAGCGTTCCTGATATATGAAGGCCTAGGACTTCACTCAACACACACAGCCACTCCCTCTCCCCTCAACCACTCAGGCCTAACTGAAGTCCTGTGAATATAAAGCAATTTCTTTTACTTTCTTGATTTAAATTGATCTGATAGTCCCTTATGCATGAGCAAGGATAAACAATAATGTCAGTGGATTATAAAGGGAAATAATAGTGCTGTATTGGTTATGCTGATTATAATAGGTACATGTTGTCACTACTTTAATAGCAAAATCATAGAAATACTATGCTGTCGTTTGAGTTTATCTCTTAAAATGCATGATTTAACCAAGATATTATAATGGCTGTTGGTAAATGGGTTTTTGGTTGTCTTGAAGTACTTTCCCTATTCAATTTATCTAAATATCCAGAATGTATTTAATTAGACCTTAAACAGGCTCACAACCGACCGCCCCCCCCCCCCCCCCCAAGCTGGAAGGGGTCCTTCCGCTTACCCGTAACTCAAAGGGGCCCCGCCAATCTGAATAGCCTAGGCCCGGAGACTTCTTATCCGGCCTGGTTGAACCATGTACTGGTAGTAAATAAAAATAAATTAGATTATATATCAGGGGGAAGCGCTAAAACCCGTAGACCTATATAGCGCCTGTGGGGGATGGAAAGTATTCAGGGTTAATTCAGGGAATTGGAGCACAGATCCAGTTCCTAGATCAAGTGCCCTTCATCCAGCATCAAGAACCTTCCTTGAGGGTGAGTAAATAAAGATATTAACTGTTATTATATTATTATTATTATATAGAATCCAGCGCAGGTCCTCGAGAATACAAACCCAGCACGGGTTACCACGCTTACGTTATTGTTCTTGATAACATATATCATTAATTATGTTAGTTTATACTGAAACTTATGAATACATAGTAAGATTATAGCGCCCCGAAATTCTCAGATAACTATTTCCTCAATATTGTGTGTTGCTACCAGACGCTGAGGTGACAGCTGGCACAACTACTGTCCATGATTAATTCAGTTCCTATGAAACTTTGAACGTCCTCACACCACAATTAATTAATAATCTAAAAAAATTAGTTGGTGATGGTAAATAGAGAATATATATAGGATGCAAATTAAGATTTTGCAAGCGATAATGACGACAGTACTTTAGTAAACTAGGTGTAAAGTATTGAAGCATTTAAGAATGTAATGAGAAAAGGAAGACATCTTCTTGTGGGTTTATCAGGCACTGCTAGCATAAGCAGTAAAGGCATCTACGAGACATAGTTCAGGACTAAGTTTCATAAGAGATAAGATTACGTAAGACATGTTACTACTTGTACTAGTACTTCCACACCAGCATTAACCTCTACCACTACTTCTCCACTTTCCTTCTTTTCTTGTCGCACCTCTGACCCTCTTTCCTAAAATACGTATTGTTCAAGGATCCCAGTTGCAATAAAGCCAATTTGTCTGACCTTTTATGTATATCCTGGTAATATACATATATGTTACTGTACAATAAGAACACAGTAAAAAGTAAACATAACAATATGCAGAAAAAACCACTGTGGAAAAATAATGTGAGAAATCACGAAAGCATTTTTAAAAATTTACTATTTTGATCAAAGTGGTTCTTCTACATATGTAACTATGTATGATAATTTGTGTAAACTGTATTTACGTAAACCTGTACCTAAATAAACTTACTTAATATATAAATTGTGAAGTATTGATATTATCCCCTTCATAGTATAACAATAAGGCATTAAAAGGACCCCAATGGGAATAAGTCACTTTATATGATTTTTTTGGTTTATCCCAGGTTATCTACACATATTCTGCTATGTATGATGAATATATATAACTGTGTTTGTATATACATGAATGGACATACTGAGGGGAGAGAGAAGTGTCAGGTGACGGAGTGTAACCGATCACCAACAAGTGATGAAAACAAACCCGTCCTGAGTTACTCTCTTAATTATTCTCAAGTGACGTAGTGACACCTTAGTGATATGAGGTCAGTATTACTCTGCTCCTGGGAATTATTCTCTCTTTATAATATTTGTTTGTTTGTGATATAACCAAGACAAGAGTGATGGTGGGGCAGCAGGCTTTGATGTTCTTTCTTAGTCTCTTGAGTAAGATAAGATAAGATTTGTTGGGATTTTTTAACATGAGTGTTATCCACCCAGGATAACCCAGGGTAGTGAGTGTTATCCACCCAGGATAACCCAGGGTAGGGAGTGTTATCCACCCAGGATAACCCAGGGTAGGAGTGTTATCCCACCCGGGAAATAACCCAGGGTAGTGAGGTGTTATCCACCCAGGATAAACCCAGGGTAGTGAGTGTATCCACCCGGATAACCCAGGGTAGTGAGTTTTAAATCCACCCTGATAACCCAGGGTAGTGAGTGTTATCCACCCAGGATAACCCAGGGTAGTGAGTGTTATCCACCCTGGATAACCCAGGGTAGTGAGTGTTATCCACCCAGGATAACCCAGGGTAGCGAGTGTTATCCACCCAGGATAACCCAGGGTAGTGAGTGTTTTTCCCCCCCATGATAACCCAGGGAAGGGAGTGTTAAATTCCATCCAGAAAAACCCAGGGTAGGAGTGTTATCCCCCCCAGGATAACAGCATCCAGGACCTTGTCATACTGGTCCAGTAGCTGGGACAGGCAGAAGGGGACCTGCTCTAAACCCGTGTTGCCCTGGGTTGGTAATTGATGAGAAACCTAGGTGGTTGGCGATCTTGCTTCTTAGAACCTCTAAAAGATTTTTGTGATATGGATGTTAGTGCTATCGGTTTGTAGTTCTTTCCAATTGCTTTTAACTGCCACCTTTGTGGAGTGGGGCTATGTCTGTTGTTTTTAGTGTGTGAGGGATAACCCCTGTGTCCATGCTCCCCCCCATAAAATGTTGAAGGCACGCAATAGGGGCTTCTTGCAATTCTTGATGAACATGAAATTCCACGAGTCTGGGCCTGGGGCAGAGTGCATGGGCATGTCATTAATTGCCTCTTCAAAATCTTGTGGAGTTAGAAAAAATATCCAAGATTTTTGGGGATGACCGAATTTTGGGTTTCGTTCATAAAGAATTAATTTGGATTGTCCGACCCTTGGAGTGGGCAGTGGATCGCTGAACACTGAGTAATATTGGGACTTTAGTATCTCACTCATTTCTTGGCTATCATCTGTGTGTGTCCCATCCCGCCTAAGCAGGGGCCCAATACTGGATGTTTTTTCCTTAGATTTGTCATAAGAGAAGGGGTTTATTTTTTTTTTTAATTTCCTTTATGGCTTGTATTCTTCCTGTGATTCTTGTCTCCTATAAGAATTCCTTCAGCTTAAGTTTGATATTTGCAATTTCACTGATTAGTGCCTCCCTTCGTATTTCAGATATATTGACTCCACTTAGCAGCTCTGTGACTCTTCGCCTTCGTCTGTATAGGGAACGCTCTCTAGTTTTACATCTTCTCTTTCCTTTCCTTAATGGAATGTGTCTTGAGCAGATCTGAAGAACTACAGAATTCATTTTTTCAAGGCAAATGTTTGGGATCCATGTTGTTTAGGATATCTTAAACAGCTTGTTTCATTTAGGACAGGGTTTTTTACTTGGTCCCATTTATATGTCTTTGTTATTGAAATTGAATTTCGTGAAGAGACCTTCATGACTGCTTACATTTTGCTAGTCGGGAGCCCTGTGTATACATGTCTGTACCTCTATTATGTTGGGATCTGAGTGAATTGTCTTTGATATAGTTATATTACATATCAGATCATCATTGTTAGTGAAGATAGGCCCAGCATATTTTCTAGTCTTGAAAGGCTCTACTATTTGCTGGTTGAAGTTTGAATTTGTTGCAGAAAATTTAATAGGGGTTGGAAGTTTTTGGGTTTGCACAGGATGACCCAGGGTAGGGAGTGTTAGCAACCCAGGATAACCCAGGGTAGAGAGTGTTAGCCACCCAGGATAACCCAGGGTAGGAAGTATTAGCCACCCATGGTAACCTGGGGTAGGAAGTGTTAGGTACACAGGATAACCTGGGTAGAAATTGTTGGGAAAACACAGGATAACCAGGGGTAGGAAGTGTTAGGTCACAGGAAAAACCTGGATAGGAATGTTAGGTACACAGGATAACCTGGGATAGGAAGTGTTAGGTACACAGGATAACTTGGGATAGGAAGTGTTAGGTACACAGGATAACCTGGGGTAGGAAGTGTTAGGTACACAGGATAACCTGGGATGGGAAGTGTTTAGGACACAGGATAACCTGGGATAGAAGTGTTAGGTACACAGGATAACCTGGGTAGGAAGTGTTAAGTACACAGGAATAACCCAGGGTAGGGAATTTTAGCCACCCAGGATAACCCAGGGTAGGGAATGTTTAGCCACCCAGGATAACCCCAGGTAGGGAATTAAGCCACCCAGGATAACCCGGGGTAGGGAATGTTTAGCCACCCAGGATAACCCGGGGTAGGGAATATTAGCCCCCCAAAGGATAACCCAGGGTAGGGAATGTTAGCCACCCAGGATAACCCGGGGTAGGGAATGTTATCCACCCAGGATAACCCAAGAATGTCAGTGGATAAATTAACCTTCAGTCATCTCCTGCAGGCATAGTGTGCACAAAAGAAAGTGTAAATATTTTGTATATTCAGAAAATTTTTAAACTACTGATGCCCCCTGCAAAAAAAACAAAATTCAGTTTACTTGCACTTGTTACATTAGTTTGTTATAATATTAGATGTGTTTCAAGGTATTTAGTACTCAAACCCCAGCACTGAGATGAATGAAAGCTCCACACTCCACGAAAAAACCTTCGGTTTTCGGGAAATTTGCAATTTCAGAATTTCGGATAAAGGGTTGTGGACCTGTAGTAACAGTACAAAAAAATTGTTTTTCTTATTTGTTTTGATTATTTCAATTCATAAACAAAGGTAATTTATATTGCAATTGTTTCAAGGGGTGCTACCCTTCAAACATGGAAAAAAATCACATTGTTTTACTTCTTGGGTTAAAATAAAATAGTGGACCCTCGCCTAACGAACGCATCGCATAATGTTAAATCCGCCTAGCGAGACATTTTAACGCAAAAATTTTGCCTCAGCTAGCGCTAAAAAACTCGCCCAATGCGATTCGTTCCGTTCGAGACGCGTCCACGTTCGAGATGCGTCCCGTGGGTGCCAGTGTTTACAAGCCAGCCACTGTGGTCGCATCCAAACATACAATTGGAACATTTCATATTATCACAGCGTTTTTAGTGATTGCACCTGCAAAATAAGTCACCATGGGCCCCAAGAAAGCTTCTAGTGCCAACCCTGTGATAGAAAGGGTGAGAATTAGTATGGAAATTAAGAAAAATTTTGAAGGGTTTGGGGCTAACCCTGAGAAGCCTATGCCAGTTGTGGAATCCACTGTGCCTACTTCAAAGATTAAGGAAATGTGTGCAAAGTGGGTTGAACTGCAAACCTTTATGGATGAAAATCACCCTAACACAGCAAATTGCAAGCTGTGCTGGTGACTAATTACAATGACAGTGTTAATGGGCCCATTTTAGACAAATCTTAAAGGAACGGGAGTACAAAGCTCTATGGACAGATATGTTGTGCGACAGAGGTCCAGTGACTCTCAAGCTGGTCCTAGTGGCATTAAAAGAAGAAGGGAAGTAACCCCGGAAAAGGACTTGACACCTCAAGTCCTAATGGAAGGGGATTCCCCTTCTAAACATTAACACCATCCACAGTCTCTCCTCCTCCCATCCCATCAATCATCACCAGATCTTCAATAAAGGTAAGTGTCATGTAATTGTACATGTCTTCTTCAGTTTGTGTGTATTAAAATTAATATTTCATGTGGTAAAAATTTTTTTTTCATACTTGGGGTGTCAGGAACGGATTAATTTGATTTCCATTATTTCTTATGGGGAAAATTAATTCAGCTAACGATAATTTTGCCTAACGTTGAGCTCTCAGGAATGGATTAATATCGTTAGGCGAGGGTCCACTGTACATGATAAAATCCTTAGTGTTAAGTAGTCTGTAAGCCAATAATGTTAAGTTGGCCCATAATACCTAGGCATAATAGAGGCTCTCTTTGCATTGCAACCCATTATTGTAAATATAAAATCTCAATGTACTGTTTGCTAAGACAAAAAAAAAAAAAAATTAATGAGGTTGAAGTATGAATATTAATAAATGTTTTTATTGATTCATATTTCAAGAAAATTCTTGATTATTTTAGCAAATTATCAGTAATTTTCCTGTAAAAATCTGGTTTATTTTAAATATTTTGCTTTAACAACTTATAGAAAGGCACAGCTTTGTAATCTCTTTTAGACTTTAAGAATATGTATAGTAAATTTAAATTAATTTCAAAACAAAGAAACAGTGTTGTACTGAAGACATTGCTGAAACCAATTTACTATTTACTCTTTGACTTTTAACCCTTTGACTGTTTTCGACGTATAAATACGTCTTATGAGCCAATGTTTCTGACGTATATATACTCAATAATTCTAGCGGCTTCAAATCAAGCAGGAGAAAGCTGGTAGGCCCACATGTGAGAGAATGGGTCTGTGTGGTCAGTGTGCACCACATAAAAAAAATCCTGCAGCACACATTGCGTAATGAGAAAAAAAAACTCTGATCGTTTTTTTGGAATAAAACGCCGACTTTGAGGTGTATTTTCGTATAGTATTTATCGTTTTTATTCGCTTTTCATGGTCTTAGGTGATAAAATGGAAAACATATTACAGAAATAGAGATGATTTTCAAATTTCTTGACGATGAAAACGATCTTGAAACTGAACTCAAAGTAGCGGAAATGTTCGATTTTTTACCAATGTTCAGGAGTAAATAAATCACACCACACGTCCAATACACGTCAACTGGAGAGTCTAATATTCTTTCACTATGCACTGATATTATTTATACCATTTATACAATAATGCAGTAGTCTGCATACAGTAAATTTTTGTATTTTTTTTGTATGAATAAAAAATCAAAATAGAAAGCAA